GATTCTTCTTCACTATTCCCAACTTTTGCATTCCAGTCACCCATTATTATCAATGCATCTTGATTGCATGTTCGATCTATCTCCAATTGTAAAAGTTGGTAGAAATCATCTAGTCTCTAACCACAGACTTTATTATCACGATACATTTTTTAATTTCTTGGCTGCTGGTGCCATGCGTGTTGACTGTGGAGCCAAGCAAACTAAAACTGTGAACAATCTCAACCTCTTCACCATCCATCATGATGCTGCCAATCGGAGCCATGGTGAGAATCTTTTTTTTTCTTGATATTGAGCCTCAATCCATACTGAAGACTGTACTGAGACGGTTTTGTTAGGATTCATTAGTGACTTGAAAGAAGATGTAGAAGAAAGATTTACAAAATTCTAAGTTGACATAAAGCTGGAGCTATTTAATTATAAGACAGAATTAAAAATGAATGTTACTAGGGACCAAAATCTAGAAAAAGAGGGATCAGATTCTAATGTGAAATTTAAAAAGGCAACCATACAAAAGCAGGGCAGTGGTCAGATGACTGGAGAGCTGTAAATGTCAAAAGTACACCACTTAAAGTAACATGGGATCAATCTCAGGCTACAACAGAATCACATTGTCAGTGGTACAGGGCATACTTTGCTGCTTTTACTTCTGCCTCATATAAGACTATGCATTTCTAATCTTTTTCTTGACATTTCAGAAGGTCAATAAATGTTTTTTTTCGGGGGGGAGAGAATCAGCATGCAAAGGGGTTAGCAATGAATGTAATATAAAGAATAGTTGAGAGAATTGGAATTTTATTAGCTAGATTAAAGATAAACCTTTGAAAAATACAAGGATCTTCAAATACTTTTAAGACTCTGATGTAGTTGAAGGAGATTTATTATATACAACAGTAGAAGACAAAACTTGAAACAATAGAACTGACTAAAACCACAATTTTCAGGTTATATACTGGAATAGCAAGAAAGAATATGACATTGATAATTAGAAGCACCAAATTCAGACCTTAAATTTGAGTTGTACTAAATGTGATTTTAAGCAGCTCACCTAAACTTTCTGAGACAGAGAACTGCATCTATATATTACAGAAGTTGACAGAACTCGATAAAAATATTTTGAGAGTCTAAAATTAGTTTTAAAAGTATGGTAGTAATAACAACTCATAAGAAGGGATGTGCTTCTGTTGAAAGCATTCAAGCAGATGCTATCTATCAGTTTTGTATTGGGGATGATGAGATTGAATTGGAGAATAGTGTAAATGCCAGAAAAACTCATTCACTTATCCTATATTTTAAATTGGACAAAGGTATTAATAGCAATGGAAGGAAGGTTATAAAGAGTCATTAATGCAAATAATATAATATGGCTATACAAAGTAGTTAGTGTCGCAGCCTTTACAGAATTCCTATGAGTTGGAACTCTACAGATAAACTTCTCAAATCTAATCTGAAAAGTCCAAAATACAACAATAGTTATTTAGATCAAATTACAGTTAATTCCTTTAACTCAAATTAGTTATTTCTATATTTGTGTTTCCAAACAGAATATAGAAAATGTTTTTCTAAATTTTAAAACCTCTATCCAAATCTCAAATTCTAGGCTTTGGATAGTTGATACCCTTCTTAAGTCCATCTGTTTGCTATATTTCAGGGTTTTTTTCATTAGTGTTCAGAAATAAGTAGATCCTGGGTGGGTAATGTCTACCAGTTGTTCCAATGTTTACTTACCCTCTGACCCTCCTTTCCAGGTGGACCTTGGGGGCCTTGTATCCCCAGGGAATCCTTAAAGAAAAAAAGAGACACATGTATAATAGAATGTTTCAAGAACACCTGTTTCAGAAAGAATTCCGTGAAAATGAATACCTACTTCATTGACTAAACAACTTTTAAAGTGATTTGAGCCATTCTAATGTTAGACTATGCGATATATTGTTGTTGTTGTTGTTGTTATGTGCCGTCGAGTCGCCTGCGACTCATAGCGACCCTATGTACACAGCCCTAAACTCCGCTCTGTCCTGTGCCAATCGCACTGTCTCTGACACTCCCATCCCAATTATCCCAGTCACTGAATCAATCCACCTCATAGAGGGCCTTCCTCTCCTGTGCCGTCCCTCCACCCTCCCAAGCATGATGTCCCTTTTCAAGGACCGGTCTCTCCTCACTACATGTCCGAAGTAAGTTAGACGGACCCTCAGAATCCTTGCCTCCAAGGAGCCACCCAGTTTAACCCTCTCCAGGACAAATCTATTTGTTTTCCTAGCAGTCCATGGTATTCTCAGTACTCTTCTCCAGCACCACAGCTCAAAGGCATCAGTTCTCCTTCTATCCTCCTTGGTCATTGTCCAACTCTCTGATGCATAACAGGTGATTGCGAAGACTATGGCCTGTATCAGACGCACCTTAGTCTCCAGAGAGACACCACTGCTCTTCAGCACTTTGGAGAGGTCCCTAACAGCAGACTTTCCCATGGCAATGCGCCTTTTAATTTCCTGGCTGCTGGTGCCAAGACTGTTGACTATGGAGCCAAGCAAACTAAAGCTGTGTACAATCTCAATCTCTTCACCATCCATCCTGATGCTGCCAGTCGGTCCAGTGGTGAGAATCTTTGTCTTCTTGACATTGAGCCTCAATCCATATTGCAGGCTGCAGTCCTTGACACTCTGCAGCAGGTGCTGCAGATAATATAATATATGCGATATATAGGCAATATATTAACAATGATTAATTGCCTTCTTTGACTAGCTTATCTTTCTTTCCAAAGCAAGTGGGAGGTCAAATGTTTACTCTTAGTGAAGGCTCTCAAAAGATTAGAAGCACTGTTCACCAAACTACCACTAATAAAGGGAGCACTGGTGACTTAGAGGTAAGGAAATTGTGCTGCCAAACTAAAGGCATGCAGTTTGAATCCACCATTCACTGTGGGAGACAGATCTGCCTGTGCAATTTACTGCCTCTGAAAACCTGCTGAAGGGTTAGCTACGGATTCATTCTGACTTGATGGTACTCAACAACAACATACAAATCTAAATTCAACTTCATTTTACCTGAATAATTTTAATTTAATTTAAAATTAATTATGATTTATTTTACTACATTGTATTTTTCCTTAGAAGTCATGGCTACTTTTAAATTAAAATACAGATATAATTGTGATAACCAATAATTTTTGATTATACATTCAGTTTATTGCTTTTTTGAGACTACATTTTCATTGTTGTTGTTGTTAGGTGCTATCAAGTCAAGCACGACTCAGAGAGACCCTATAAACAAAAGATCTGAACCCAGTCCTGTCCTTAGTCATCATCACACTTCCTGATAAACAAGAGCCCATTGCAGAAGCCACTGGGTCAATCAACCTGGTTGAGGGTGTTCCTCTCCTTCACTGACCCTCCATTCTTCCCAGCATCATGTCCTTCTTCAAGGGATAGCCCCTTCTAGCAACATTCCCAAAGTAAGAGTTGAAGCCTCATTATTCTTGCCTCCAAATGCCAAAAATACATAATTTTATCACCCCATTTATTAAAGAGAAAATTATAATAATATTATAATTTTTATAATCTTTAATTTGATATGTTATCAAAAGTTAGCATAAATTATTGCAATGTCAAAATGTCAAAAACATGACTACATTAGTGCAATATAGCTAGTTATTAGATAAATGCAAAAAAATTCCACAATGGAGTAGCATCTCACAATAGCAAATTCAAGTCAATAGGAAAGTTTAAAAAGATAGAAAACAACAAATGCTGGCAAAAGTGAAAAGAGTGGAATTTTTATACACAGCTAGTGGGACTTTAAAATGGTGCAACAGCTACAGAACGCAGTTTGGCATTTCCTTAGAAAAACCATTGATTCAGCAATGATATTACTGGGTCTACATTGTAAAGAAATAACTGCAAACCAAACTGACATAATCACACTCATGTTTATTTGCTGCATTATTTAGAATGTTGTTGTTATGTGCCATAGAATTGCCTGCAACACATAGCAATCCTATGTACAAGAGCTCTGAAGCCTGCCCTATCCTGAGCCAGTCTCACTGACTCCAACACACCTACCTCCATTATCCCAGTTACTGTATCAATCCATCTCATACAGGTCTTCCTCTCCTGAACTATCCCTTCATCCTTCTGAGCATGAGGTCCTTATCCAAGGACATGTGCCCAAAGTATGTGAGATGGAGCTTCAAAATCCTAGCCTCAAAGGAGAAACTTGGTTTTACTCTCTCCAAGAAAGATCAGTTTTGTTTTCTTGGCAGTCCACAGTTTGTTTAAGACTCTTCTCCAACACCACAATTCGTAAGTATCAATTCTTCTGTCATCCTTGGTAATTGTCCATCTCTCTGATGTGTAGCAAGTAATTGTGAACACATGGTCTGGGTCAGGTGCACCTTAGTCTCTAGACTTACATTGTTTCTTCTCAGTACTCTGTAAGGTCCCTGACAACAGATTTCCCCAGTATAATTTGTCTTTTGATTTCCTGACTGCTGATGCTAAGAGTGTTGATTGTGGAGCTGAGCAAGCTGAAATTGTTAACAACCTCAAAATCTCTTCCCATTAGACCCAGCAATTCCGTTACTGGGAATATACCCTAGTGAAAACATAACTGCCACCCAGGTAGATATGTGCACACCCATTTTTATCGTGTCTTTGTTCACGATAACAAAGAGTTGAAAACAACCTAAGTACCCATCAAAAAATGAATGGATAGAGAAGCTCTGGTATAGTCACACAATGGAATACTATGCTGCATTGAAAAACAAGGAACTCATGCAATATTATTCAAAATGGGTGACCCTGGAGGACATTATGCTGAGTGATATATCTCAGTCACAAAAGGACAAATACCGCATAGTGCTACTGTTGTAGAATGGGACTGACATCAGGGTTGGGGTGAGACTGAGAAAAATTGGATAAATAATGTATACTGCATTGAAACAGATGAGGGAGAGAAGAGTGTAATAGCGATATATGATTGGGTATTATGGTTATGACAAGAGTCCAGAATGAAGGTTGTGTAGTGGAGTGTACTTGGCAGAGGGTGGTAGATTCTATAACAATGAAAGAATTTTTCTTTTACCTTTCAAAGAGAAGTGTGAATGGGGAGAAGAGTGGTCAGGGAGAAAATTGCAACAATAAATGTACAGAAATAAAAAAATCTCTGTAAACATTCATTAAAATTAATTTTGGAAATAATAATTAAAAAAACAACAACAACAACAAAATCTCTTCTACATCATAGTGCTGCCAATTTGCCCATTGGTAGAATCTTTGTCTTCTTGATGTCGAGCTTCAATCCATATTGAAGACTACAGTCCTTGACCTTCTGCAGCAAGCACTTAAGGTCCTCTTCAGTTTCAGCAAGCAAGGTTGTGTCATCTGTATAACAAAGGTTGTTGGTGAGTCTTCCTTCAATCCTTATGCCACATTGTTCCTCATGAAGATCTCATATGATCTGTTCTGCCTATATATTGAAAGGTATGGAGACAGCATACATCCCTGACACATGAACCATGATCATCCCTGACTGTGAACCATGCAGTATTTTCCTGCTCTTTTCTGAGGACTGCTACTTGGTCCAACTATAGGTTTCACATAAACACATTCGAGTGTTCTGGGATTCTCGTTTTCTTCAAGGTTATCCACAATTTGTTACGAGCCACACAGTCAAATGCCTTTGCATAGTCAATGAAACAGGCAGACATTCTTGTGGTATTCTTTGCTTTCTGCCAAGATCCATTTGACATTAGCAATAATGTCTCTAGTTCCATGACCTCTTCTAAATCCAGCTTCTATTTTTGGTAGTTCTCTGACAATATACTGTTTCAGTCGTTTGTGGATTATCTTCAGCAGGATTTTGGTAGTGTGTGTTATTAGTGATATTGTTTGGTAATTTCCACACTTTGTCAGGTTACCTTTTTTTTTGAAATGGGAATAAACATGGACCTCTTCCAGTCACTTGGCCAGGTCATTGTCCTCTAGATTTTTTTACACATCTGATAAGCATGTCCAGGGTAGCATTGGTTTGTTGAAATATGTCAATTGGTATTCCATCAATTCCTGGGGCTTTATATTTTTTGCCAAGTGCTTCAGAGCTCCTTGAACTTCCTCCTTCATCACTACTGCCTCTTTATCATATGTTGTTTCTTGGAATTTTTCTGTGTCAGCCAATTAACTTTTGATACAGAGACAATAGCAAAAAATTAAAAACAGCCAAGTGTCCATCAATGGATGACTGACTAAAGAAACTCTGATACATTGACACAATGGAACATTATACCTCACTGTAAAATTATGAAAATTAATGAAGTACTCTAAAACATGGATAATACATGTAAAATTATATTGAGTGATATAAACCAGTCAAAAAGACTACTATTATCAAAAGCTAAGCAAAGTTTTACACGCAGATATACTTAGTCTTGGATGGATAAGGACAAGGAAAGAGGGAAAAGGAAATAATAAATGCATTCGCCAGATGAAGGGAAAGCATCACACTAAAAGAGGTTGATTTGAGACTGTAACCAATGCATTACATTGTTGTTACGTGCTGTTGAGCCACTTTACTGTTATAAAACAGAAATATTTTATGGAAAACTGTATGATAAATAACAAAATAGTACAAAAATTCTACACTTATCACCAATCTTTATTGTCCTCTAAATCTGTGATTCCTTCTCTACAATAGATTAATTATACTGTGAATCATATTTATTGCTTTCTTATTCTCTTTTATCTATGTTTCAACAGTTTAATGCTATAGGACAAGTGAAGAAAACTCTG